TCTGGGGTGCCTCAGGGATGCTGACTTGAGTTGGATGTTTCTGCTGAGCCAGGAACACATGATGGGCCAACAAGGCCCACGCCAAGCACCAGAAGTGCCCGGGCCTCTGGGATAAGGGGTTCTCTCTGGTTAAATTGGCCAAGCCCCTCTGGTGGGAGCTGGCCTGGCTGCATCCCTTCCCATAGAAGGCTTTCTGGCTGTGCAGGGGCAAAAATACACTGCTGCCCAGACATGCTCCTGGCAAAGGGTCCTGCTGGATGAACAATGTACCTGAATGGTGGGGCCACACAGCATCTGTCTCCCTTGCTGATTGCCATCCACACTCCCTTCCCTGTTGCATCTCTTTAAGACAGTTGCATTGTGAGAATCCAGGGCACCCCAAGGGCCCCCAGTGTGGGGTAAGCAAACATGGAGAGAAGGCCAGTACTGACCTCTGCATCTTCATCTGAGCCAGCCAGCTTCACTCTCCTTGGGCCACCCCCTGCCCCAACTAACCAGCTGTGACCAGGGGAGGATGACATTGACAAAGGGTTTCAGGGTCACATGGCATAAAACAAGGTCACCAGAGTGCTATTCCCTTCTGCAGTGGCCCTTGGGTGGGGAAGTTTTCTTTAGAACAGGAATGTGGGCGGGGCAGCCCTTGTAACTGACATGTCTGGTACAACTCAGGGGCCCTGGTGGCACAGCAGTTAAGAGCTCAGCTGCTAACAAAAGGTCAGCAGTTGGAATCCACCAGCCGCTCCTTGGAAACCCTATGGGGCAGTTCTACTCTGTCCTATAGGGTTGCTATGAGTTGGAATTGACTTGATGGCAGTGGCTTTGGTTTGTTTTCTTTTGGTACAACTCAGTAGGGAAAGACTTTTCCAGCAGAGAATGTGACCCAAGTCGGGGCTTTATGTCCTGAAAACCAGTCAATCTGAAAGCTGGACACATGGTGAATCTTCTTACTTGGAGCCCAGAACCCCAGGCTTTTGGGTGTCTGAAGTCCACGTTTATTTTCTCTTTGTCTACAAGTAAATCAGAGAGGAGCCTGACGGCCAGGAAGCTCAGCTAGTGCTTTTCCCCTTTCTTTTTTCTACATTTACATATGTAACTAGCTTCCAGGTGGGTGTCTTTTGGAAGGCACTGATCTGGGATCTGGTTGGGGACTCCTGATTGCGTCACTAGAGTGTGACCCAAAGATAAGTTCTAGCCAAGATGGTCGCCACCAGCAAGCATTGCTTCAAAGCTGCCTGCAGAGCAGTCCAGGAAATGGATTACTTCAAGATCACATCGGGAATGCTAATTGGATAAAATTCAAAGCAGCCCTTTGGACAAAGAGTTTGCTGATTAAGCCTCCTTCTGGTTGAGGTTCCTCCGGAGCATGACCAGAGCTGCCCCGACTGCTGCGTCCACATCCTGCCCAAAGGACCACGGGAAAGGGAAAGCCCTCTGCACTTCCTGCTTCAGCACCTCATTCCTGGACAGCGCACTCCCACTCCCAATCACCCGCTCCACGCCCCACTCTTTGAGCTGCTGGAACGAAAGCATTGAGTGCAGGTTCTGGACGATGCCTCGACACAGGGCCCGGGTCACGTGCCCCAGGGAGAGGCCAGAGGAGGAGATTCTGGTCACTGAGGCCAGCTGGTCCGGCAGGTGCCTCTCTCCCAACACTGTTGGGGTGATGGTTAGGCAGGTGTCTTCCTGCTGTGCGGCTGCCTGGATCATGTGGGAATACACCGTGGATTCTTCAACTTCCAGGCCTGCCAGGAGTAGAGAAGACCAGTGTGAGCTCACGTACCCCTCTGATGCAGGCTAAGACAGTACAGAAATCCCAGGGAGCAGGGGTAGGTCTACTTGCTGCTTCTCCTGACACTGTGGCTAGCTGCTTCCAGGCTTAGGAACTCACATGGGCTGGCTAGCTATGCTCTGTCCCAGATCCTAGCCAGCTATCTCACTGCAGACCCCAGCCCACACTTCAGCAAGATATCGCATGGGTGTTGCTGAGAACTCTATCCTAATCCAGGTCTCCTAACCATCCCACAGCTATGGGAACCTTGGCGATCATCACTGCTGCTACTAGACTGATGAGCAGTGTCACAGAAATCCCAGGATCACAGGGCTGAGAACATCTTTAAGGCCAGTCTAGCCCACCCCTCGTCACATGCATGGGGCATCTGAGGCCCAGAAGGAAGTGA